AGGCCATCGCTAGCAGGTTGGAGGCCATTGCTAGTAGTTTGTAGGCCATCGCTAGTAGGTGGAGGCCATTGCTAGTAGGGTGGAGGCCATCGCTAGTAGGTTGGATGCCATTGCTAGTAGCTTAGGTTTGTTGTCCCAAAACTTTGATCTCGCTAGAACTCGATGTGGCTATTCGAGCGTGTGGCTTCCCTTAAGAATCCATTTTTGCATCCTACTACCTACAACTTCCTAGTTACAAGTTACAACTGTAAAGTACTCACTCCTAGGAAAGCTATGCTTACCTGAACTACCTTACATACCTAGCTTTCCAAATCGACACACGGGAGAAAACGTGTGCTTTGCACACAGCTCCGGCTCCACCTCAGGCTTTGGTTCCCAAAGTCCAGGCCGGCCATCACATGCGACAAATTGTGACAATGCCATGACATGACGTTTTGAATGATTGAATGAGCTCAGGTACTGAACATGATAAGGCTGATCTTTAACGTCTTTTCAAAATGTGAAATTCTGCCAGGATGATGCTGTGGCTGCGTCCTTTAGCTTGCAAGAAGAAATCAATGTGCATTCCTTCAAAAGCTTGTACAGCTCTATATGACTCTGTAGCAGCCAGGAGTGAACCCAGTGGCAGCTCCCAGGACATGTTGATAGAAGTGAGCAGACTTGAGTTAGGTATCAAATTGTTAGACCCGTTAGAAGCGTGAACTATCCTGCGTCCAGTTGCTGGAAGCTAACTAACTAGCTAGTAGCGAACTTCTCCCTTACTTAATTAAGTAGGCGCCTATTTAAGTAAGTAATGAGCGAGCTAGTAGGTTCTTCTTCCTAGTAGTGATTGATCGACTTCAGGACACAGCAAAGCCGTGACCGCGAATTCCCAGCGAAGCTGCGAGCGAAGCCGGTGTGACCAGAGACGCTCGCTGTGGGACGCTTTGCCCCGAGAGTGCTAGGGTTTATTTCTCTGGCAACATTTCAATGGGAGCTGGAAGCATCAATTGATGGGCCTTTCTCACAGACCTTTGTGAGCAAAAGAGTGCTTAGAGCGTCTTGAACGGTGCTAAGCGTTCATCCGGCTATCATCATTTGGTCTCCTGGGGTGGCAGGAGAGCTTTTGACACTGTGAGCCCCTTTGTTGCTACATGTGGAAGTCTCTTTTGGACATGGGGGGGGAGGCCATCGCTACTGGTGGTGGAGTAGCAGAGAGGTAGCTACTAATTACTAAGCTTAGGAAACTACTAGTACGGACGCAGGAGAGCTCACGCTCGCACTATTCATGTGGGTTTCTAGATTTTTGCGCCGTTGTTTTTCTCCTTTTAGCCTCGAACCTACTAGCGATGGCCTCCAACCTAGTAATTAGCGTTGTGCAAACTTGCTTGACAACCTTAGCTTCACAAGCCTAGCTGGAGCAGATGGCACGGTCTCTCGATCTTTCTTGCCATTTGGCTCACAGCCCACTGCGGGCCAGGCTCAGTCGTCCAAGAAGCCAAACCGTGTTTACACATGTTTGCACAGGAAATGTGCTGTTCTTCTGAAGTGAAGTAGTTTCTAAGTAGTTCCTACAGTGTTGGCATTCTCCAGGCATCTCAGTTTTTGCATTGCAAAACCTCCAAAACGGCGCAGTTGAGTGGCTGCAATCAAAGTTCCCATGCGAAGTTGAGAAGCCAAGGCAAGTTGCTATTCATGTTGGTGTTGTAGTAACAAGAAGCTACTAGGAACAAGTGCATCGCTTCTAGTAACAAGTGCCTTACTAGTAGTAACAATGTTCGCTACTAGGAACAAGTAACATGTCACGTTTTTGAACTAGCAGCTCGGCGACACCTTTCTAAGCCTCTCCAGGAGGCCGTCACTAGTAGGTTGGATGCCATCGCTAGTAGATTCCGCTACTGGGTTGGAGGCCATTGCTAGTAGGTTTTGGATCCTTTTCCTTTTCACATCTCAATTCTGCCAGGATGGGCGGTTGCAATTCGACTGGCTGTGGTTGCGAGAAGTCAGCGGCGCTCAGTTCTCGCATGCTCAATGTGCTTTTTCGGTGAGGTGTTGCAAAGGACTCTGAGGAGTTTCGGGGTTCAAAGTAGGAGGCCATCGCTAGCAGGTTGGAGGCCGTCGCTACTAAGGGGAGGCCAGTTTCAGGGTTCAAAGTAGTATAATGACGTTCCTTGCAGACAGCTGAGGGGTCCTCCACCAACGTTCAGCATTGACCCCGGTTCCGTCGTTAGCTCAATGAAGAACTTGCAGAAGGGGTTGGAACTGTATTTCTCAGTGTGTGTGATCCACTGGATTGATTTCATGATTTGGCAGTTTAGCATGAACGCTACTAGGAACAAGTGCATCGCTTCTAGTAACAAGTGCCTTACTAGTAGTAACAAGAAGCTATTAGAAACAAGTGCCTCGCTACTAGGTGTGGCATGTCCAAGAAATGTGGGCACGGTGTGCTGGCACGGTCGTCTACGCACTCATCTCCGCACTGAAATCTGATGGCACAGGTCTTCGTTCGGTTCGTTCGTAGTTGTGGATCGCACTTCAGCCCGTGATGGATGCGACACAATCGCCCGGTTGGAGGCCATCGCTACGAACGGAGCGATCGGACGCTACTAGGGGCTCCTGGCCTTACTACCAACAAGAAGCTACTAGGGGCTCCTGGCATCGCTACTAGGAGCAAGAACGCTACTAGGTTGGAGGCCATTGCTATTAGGTGTCCAAGCTGCATGGCGATGGGACAACAACAAAAAAGTTTATCCAACGCCAACACTGTAGTCTTGTGCCCCAAGTGCCAGCCAAGTTCGGAAGACACCTGCACTCTTCCTACTAATAGCAACAAACCTAACAGCAATGGCCTCCAACCTAAGAGTGATGGCCTCCAACCTAAGAGCGATGGCCTCCCACCTAATTACTAGCGATGGCCTCCAACCTAAGA